CCCACTCACGGAAATATTGACAAGTGTTCAAACAAGCATGGAAATGGGTGGGAACACAGCAGCACTGCAGGAGGAAGCTTCTCGCCTCCCTTGGTGCACCAGTTAATGGCAGCGAGCTAAGGGCCTGCTGCGTCTCTCCCACAGTGCACACCTCACTCCCCCATTCACTCATTTACTTTCTCCATGTTCGCTAGAAATAAATAACATTTTTACTGCGAATAAATCTAAATTACTGTTAAGACCTTGGTCAGTGTAGCTCTACTGATCAAGTGCCTTGTTGGACTGAATTGCTCCAACGCTGAGCAGAAAACCAAAAATCGAATTTGTGGACTTCTTGCACACAAACACTGGTGATGTAGTAAAGTCGAACAATGCTCCCCAGCTTCTCGCTTTGTGTTTGTTTGCACTTTATTCATATACAGCATATTTTCATCATGTGACAAAATGCTGCAAAGCATTGCAAACTGGTGAGTGTTTGCAGCAGCAAGGACACTCATCTCTCACTTGCTCACATTCAATATTGACAAAGCACATCTGCATGTCTAAAAGCATTAAAAATAAATAAATAAATAAATAAAAACACTGTCTAAGTAATTCTCAAGCTCTGGTCCTGGGAGTTTCAGGATTCTGTACATTTTCTGAGCTGGACTGCATGTTTTCTACACCACTCTTCCATTTTCAGGGTTACAGCTCCCAGTGCTCCTACTGTATAATCACTGGGACCACTTTAGACATCTTTCACATGTGCTCCAGTTGTTGCCTCAGCTATTTTCTTGTGGGGCTCCTTCCCAAATGCTATAATATTTCATATAAAACTTGTGGTGATCTCAGGAAACTGGACAAGTGAAGCAGACGAGGAGAAAGTCACGTCCGCAAGAACCAGGAAAAGAAATTCAGCACAAGACCTAAAAGATCAGAAAGGGTGCCAGGGGAAATGTGATTATCAAGAAGCCTTTCTTAAGGAACTAAAGCAGGGAGGAAAGGCTGAAGTAGGCCAGGTTACACAAGAACTAGACTGAAAGTCAGTAATAACTTATCTAATGAAGCGAAGAATCTAAATCTCACATTTTTGGTTTAAAATGTCATCGATATGTACATGGAGGTCAGGTGAGAGGTACAGCAGTGAGTACAGTACACGGTGGAGGCTGTGTCATGGTTTGGGGCTGCATTCCAGCCAGTGGTGTCAGGGATCTCAACTGCATGTGGGTAAGTAAATTAATCTGAAGACCAAAGTTGGGATTGCATTTGTCAAAATGTATTTTTAACAATAACTCAACTTTTTATTAGCTTTTAAAATTATATTTATACTCATAAATCTGCAGATGGAACAGGATTCTTTGGCCTGGATATCAGCCGGGGAGTGGCCAAATTTAAAAATTGCCCATTGCCTCAAGATGACAAGTAAGCAACAGGTTAACAAATTAATATCATTATAACTGCATTTCAGTATGCTAGCTGGAAAACAGATTAAAGTTGTAAAGGCTATATTATTGTTTTAGTTACATATAAAATTCAGCTTATTTTCTCCAGGACAATGTTGCAAATTGAAGCATAGGAGCAAAATTTCCAAGCAATGTAAACAATTTTAACACCTCTTTTGTTTATTCATACAAAAACCATGTTTGCTGTTAACTTTCACCTGAAAACAAGTAACTTTTCTCAGAATACGGCATGATTTTACAGGTCTTAGCTGTTCTTAGATGTTTGTTTTTTCTTTAATATGAATTCAATCCAAAGTCTTCCCGCCTGCATTCACAGCTCATGGACATTTCCAGAACGGTGTCATACCTACAGTCATTTTCACACAGTTCTTGTAAGCAATTAAAATATACTTGCATTTTCATTCTTGCCCTGTTTTAAGTTTACCTGTTCATAAAGCTAAAGATTGATCTGTTTAGCGCTATAAACAAACAGATGTCTAAGTTTTAATAAAAAAGCAACAATGTTTTAGAGGAGATAGTAAGTAACAGTCTCCGAGAGAAGACGGAAAAAACTCTGTTGTCAGTTGTGTTGGCAGAGTAAAAGTGTCACTGTGACATACCCACAACAGTTGGCATCACCATTTCTTCACAAAGAGATGAAACATAAGCGTTCCCTTTGGGTTATTACAGGAACGGAGAGGCTACAGCAGCTGCACTGATGAAAGCAGCAGTGATGCCGGTGCTGACAAGTACCTACTCTGTTTCCTGACCAGTCAAAATACATGAATGTTAAAGAAGCGCAGGCACTCTTGTTTTGTTCTGAAAGCCGCTACAGCAAAGCTTCTCAAACATTTGCATATCACAGCTCCCACAGAGGCACGTGTTTGCCCACTGAGCTGCACCTGGCTTAAATTTAAGTGGTAACACAAGAAGTAAAACACGGATTATTATTTTTTCTTTTAAAAGTCACCAAATACAGACACATAATAAAGGTCCTTGCAATTCTGAGATTTTTACTTGGAAATATTTAACTCAGCCCAGTGAAAAATGCACAAACACCACTGCAGGATTTCTTTAATAACATTAAAGATTAATAACATTGTGATTTATGCATCAGCAATTACATAACCGGGAGCTGTTTATCGGTGAAGATGAATTAAAAAATAAGATGAACCTACTTCTGTAGGTCAGGGAAGGCAGTGCAATGTTAAATTTCCTTTGCATATGAGAAACTGATACAGAGTAGTAAGTTGAGCTTTAAAGTAATAACGTGAATCTAAAAATAAAGAATGCACACAGTGAAGCTGGTGGGTTATAAATGGTACTCAAACAGGTATTTTGAGACTTGTCTTACCTTGCAGCAGGGAGGTTGCTGTTGTCACAGTCTCTGGTACACCATCCTTGCTGTAAATTGACTGGAGGAACTCAGGAACGCAGTCGTTTTCATCAGTAATAACTACCCGTACCTGAGAGGGTGACGATGAGGGAAGAGGATAGGAAAAGAAGGAAAAAGAGGCTATGATTAAATTAATTTATGTGTTCAAATTGTTTCTGAACATTTAAACAGTCAATAACACATTTTAAAGAAATGAAACAGTTCTTCTTGTTTTTATTTCTTGTACAGAATTCCCCGTTTTACTCACGACTGGTCATATGTAAGAAATGCTTATGCTCCTGTAAGCTCTTTTGTTCATAACTGAACAAAAAAAAAGAGTAAAAGAATGCCTTGCACATCTTACATCTTCTCTAGTAGGCATCAGGCCAGTAAAATGTGTGTGGCATGTTAAATACTCTCAGGGAAAAAGTACAAGTCAAGTCCTAAAGCAAGTTAGCATGTCCACATGAACTGGGTCAGATAGTTTGTTATTATTCGTGTATTTTCTGCTATTTATGTTAAAATTCCTTTCAAGCATTCTGGTAAAAAAATACATTTATGAAATACAAAATAATACAACATAATTAAAACAATGAAGCATTTGCATTTCTAATCTCAGACTGCTTCTGTCTATGAACATGTAAAAGCTGCTCAGCCAATCAGCAGAAATGCTGCAGATTCAAAGTCATACTGGCACAGTGTCATGAAAATTTGAAATCTGGGATTACTACTTCAGGCACTGTCCAAAATTGGTTTTCTTTGCATTCAGAGTCATTTTTATGTGTGAGTGACCCAAATTAACCCCATCTCCAACCAAAAGGAAGCTTCCTCTCAACCTCCTCCAAATCCATGCCCTGACCCCGATTCCTGTGGTTTATTGACCTCGCCACAGGGAAGAAGCTGCAAGTGAACTAGCGTTGTGGTCCCTCTTGTTGGTCAGTGGAGAGCGGAACCCCGTGGAGTTGCTTGTAAGCACTGAGCTAACACATGAGCAGTGTGCAAGGATGAATTTACTTAGCGTGAGCATGAAGGCGTTTGCCTTGCTAAGACACTGTAATACTGCTCAGTTCGTTTGGGATATAAAGGTAAACAAAGCATCTCCTTCCAGATGTTGACTGCCTGCTTCAAGTCCAAGAGCAATAAATAGACATGGGCTGGCAGGCAAGCCTCTGACCCTCAGTCCCTCTTGTGTTTTTTCCCCAAACAAAGCTGTACATATACACACTCACCCTACAGACACAATCGCATACACACAGTGAGTGCTTTGTAAATACCACTGGTATTAAGTCCTGGTAGGTAAGATGAAATTCTGTAATATCAGTTAATCCTTCAGCAAAGATCAGCCGCAAAGCAATGAACAACAAAATAAAATCTGCCCATGTCAACTCCCTGAGGTGATTTGTGTGCGTTTGCCAATAACTGTCAACCTTTTTTTTTGGGTGTTTCGATGTGTGCGTTTGCATGTCCTAATGAGCAAATCTATGCCCTAGCTGGACAGGAAATAGTGATAGTTGGGCAGGATATACAATGGTAGAGTATGTGTGCATGCAAGGCTGAGGAAAGGCAAGATTGAATGAGAAGAGAGAGGAAGTCAGCTGTAATAAAGCAAGATGGGCTCAAACGCACGCACACAGGAATGTGCACACGTGCACACACTTGGGAAGCTGCAGGCAGGTCTCAGGCTGGTTAGGTAACTAATGGTGCCGATGAGCTATCACTCCTGCAGGGAGAAACTTGGAAACTACCTGCAAATTAAAGTCATGCTCAGTGACTCCAGTGCACAAAAATACAGCGCGTCTGTTTCCTATTTTGATAGAGGGCGGCAGATCTCTGAAAAGTAGAATAAAATCAAAAGCAGAAAAGAGGTGCGTTATTTGACAGTCCTCTATGGAAAACAAATTAATAGGTGATTTTTTAAACCTGCTACTGGGAAACAGTGTCACAGAAAAAGATAAAAAAAAGAACAACTTCCATCATAAAGTTCTAGACTTTATACACATGAATTTTTTTGACTAACAGATGCTTTTCTGTGGATAAGTATTTGAGTTGCTAGGCACTATTCTCGCAAGTACAGCACATGTCTGCAATCTCAGGACAGCTTCATACTTGTCTAAAATCAAACAGAAGGCTTACAACCAAAATGCCATCAGAATATGTTTATTTTGGCATGGTCACAAGTAGCCGTATGCCATTCGATTGGTTACTTATCTCAAGAGAACATGTCTTAATTAATGCAAAATCCAATATGGGCCTTCCCGAGGCAGATGGCAGGGAGAAAGAGCAAGAGTATATTATGAACCTCTAAAATTGACATGCTGCAGATGAATCCAGTGAGTTGGAGTTTATCACCGAGACCATGACAGCCACTGCATGGTGACTCTCGTGATGAACTTTGGTTAGTTTTTGTCTGCATCTCTGTGATAAACTAAATAAACAGACACATAGTGACGGGTTAGTGAAAATATTTTGATTACATGTTCCACTATAATAAAAAGTGACAGTTACATTTAGCAGGCTGTAACACAAACCCTGAACTCGCCCTGAAACCGTTTGTCTGCCCTTTGCCATTTTAGCTGTTTTCACTTTTTTTTCCCTTTCCACATGAGTGAATCCTTTGAAGATGCTGACTGCTGCATGTTTGCCAGTGTGGGGAGAGTCACTGCGGTATCACATCCAGGCATGCATTCAATGTCAACACCAAATTCCTCTCTTGTGCAGCACTTGACAAAAATGAGCACATGAACATATGTGGGGTGATATGTGGTGTACTACAATATACCAGAGTTTAACCGTATGTAAACAGATAAACAGGGGTTTATGGTGGCAGCCCCCCTCAGAATGTACAAAACATCTACTCCAGTGTTGGATCAAAAATAATTGGCTTGTAATTGACAGCCGCGATCACTAGATAGTGTTTGCATAACTTCATTTTATAACTCTGGAACTTTTGTTAAGTTTTTAAAGAAATAATTCTGACAGCTACTGTCAGCCAACAGTCAGCCACTCAGAGCCACGCCTAGCTTCGCTCTAAACACGCCCCTTTCATTTAATTGCATGGTGTCACCAAGAGATGGCACTTTAGCACACACTTAGTTCCTTCTACGCCGAGCGGCGCATCGGGCAGCAAGTGATCTCCATTGATGTCGGTCAGCAGCGACTGCTTCAGCTTTGTCCCTGTCACTACCCGATCCAAAAAAAAACCCAAAAACCTACCCGATCCGTACCGGAAACCCGATCGGTACCCCGCATGCGCGAAAGGTGTCTACTTCCGGTCGAAGCATTTTACGATAGTTACAGGTCAGAGTATCTGTTAAGATGTTAAGAATAACAAGTATCTCTTAAAACGTTTGCAATAATGAAGCATTTCAGTACAATGTAGACAAAAACGAAAAATAAAAAGATAGTTACGGATCGGGACTCCCCGATCCTTACTGCGCATGTGCAAAGTCGGACCGTACAAATCGGGTCTACCCGATCCGTACCGCGCATGTGCAGATGTTTCCAAATTTGTCCTTGCAATGAAAAAAGTTCCTTCAGCAAATTCCTGGATCCAGATTTGGATGAAGTCAAGCCCCATAAGCTATAAACAAATGATCATTTCACTACAAAAGCTCCAGATCTTTTAAAAACAAGAAAATATAACAAGAAGCGAACAAAGCCCACATGTAGTGGCCTTCAAAAGTACTTGCTGTTTTTAATCTTAAATCCAAATGCCTTAAGTAGCAAACGCAGAATTTTTTCTATACTGTTAACATGCTTTTGAAGAGCTTTTTAAAGTCTAACTGGAACGAAGTCTCTGCTTAACCCTGCTTTGTTAAAACATTAATGTTTAAACTACTATCAATCAGCACCGCCCTCAATAACGTCACAGGACGGTGCACGGGGGCCAGCGAGCTGATTCAGAGGCCTGCTGTCTGTCTAACAAGTGAGATGGCAAAAAACATCCTGAAGTACCGTGTAGATTATTGTCAGAAAAAAACTGTCTGGAATAACCACACCTCAAAAAACAACTTGAGCTGTATGTATTGAGCCCTCCATTATCCAACTGTGATGTAAGAGTGATAATGTAATTTTGTTCAGGAGGCAAGCGTAGATGAATTATAGCTCATATAAAGCACTGAGGATCTGTAAAAGGTTTACACTGTCAACAAGATTAGCCTACACAACTGCTGATACAGACTGCTAAGCACCCAGTACTGGCCAGGAAAATCCTCGTACTGATTACCATCACATAAAGTATTTCCGACAAAAATGTATGAGAGAAAATTCAAAGCAGTACCAACAATTTTTCTGTATCAAAAGGCATGCTCTGAGACATATTTCTAACTTCAAATGCCAGACAACAAGCCAAACTGTCTCAAAACGGAAATTGAATCAAATGTGGGCACATCACCGGCATTATGTTCACCATTTATCAAACAAAGCATAGTTTCTGTCTGGCTCCGTTAAACTGCAGAGACAAAGAAGCGGCTGTTGCAGCGTCTCGAAGGCGAAGGCTTTTGAGAGCTGATCAAACTGAACACAGGGATAGCTCTTGGGCAGGCATGGGGCTAAGAAGGCTGTGGTACAATACAAAACTACCTGCCATTTTCTTCCCTTTTTTCTTTCCAACCGTATTTTTCTTCTCGCTAAAAATCCTCTCATCTTCACCCACTCTTTTTCCTCGCTCTCCTTCTCCACACAGGCTTTTGTTGCTCTGTAGGCCAAAGAGGCCCAAAGTGGAGCAGTTTAGGACAGATTGGTTCAGCAGGACATCTTTTAGCCTGAGGCCAGAGAAATGATGGAAACCAGACCAGATGCATCAGCGCCTGCAGCGGTCAGCCGCTGTTCTGTCTCACTTCCTGACAACGTGAGGAAGTCATCGGGAATCCCAAAGCAGTCACTGCAGCCAGACAAATCTATTCGGGTTTTACAGGAAACAGTGTTCACAAAAACAGAGACATGTCTCTCAAGGTGAAGATAACTTTTTTGATAAATTCAGGTGGAGGCCATCCGCCCATCTGTCAGTGCGTCCATCTGTACCCATTTTATGGTGGCAGCGGGCTAAACTTCCTTGCTACTATTTGAAGTTTTTCCTGGGGAATGCCTAGGTCTTCCTGGGTCTCTTTCCAGTTGACCATGCCCAGAAAATTTCAAAGGGAGGCACCGAGGAGGGATCCTGAGCAGAAGCGCCTCAACTGTCTCCTATTGAAACGCAGCAGCACAAACTCTTTTGCGAACCCCCTTTAGATGTCTGAGCCTTCACCCCCATCTGTAAGGCTGAGGCCAGCCACCCACCTGCTGCTTTTATTCCCAACCTTATGCTTGTGGTTGTTACCCAGTATTAACGAGCAGAGTCAAAGGTTAGAACATACATCAACTGATAAATTCAAAAGCTTCATTTTCCAGAAAGGATTTTCATGAGACAGTGTGGTATATATTCTACATTACTGCTGATGCCACATAAAGAAAAAACCTTTAATTAAAAAAGATGTAAATCAGGAAACATCAAAGCACACTATTATTTCAAGTGGAGCATTCACAATGATTACCATCTATGAAGCAACTGGGAATCAATAACTATGGCCACATTTTCACAGCACGAATCAAGTATTTCTGCTCAAGGATGCTTCTGACAGCTTATGAACATGTGTGATGATTTTGACTGTCTGCAAAAGTATTACACAAATACCATACCGCCTTTATTTATGAAGCACTTTAACATAAAACCAGAGTTCACAAAGTGCTGTACATGATAATAGCATAAGTAAAGAAAATTAAAATGAGATAAGATAAGAAAAGATAAAATAAATAACTAAAAAACTAAAATAAATTGAAACATGTTAAAACAAATAGAGTCAACCCCTCTAATCAATGCCAAAGGCTTCAGCGAATAAATATGTTTTAAGAAGACTTTTAAATTCAGAAAGAGAAGAGGCCTGCCTAACATGCAAGGGTA